AGCCTTGTCCCCTCTGTCTGTCACCAATTGTTTCTGCCCATTTAGCAGGGGTCCTATTCCTCCCTGGGCCTTCCTTTTACTCCCAATATATCTAAAAAACAATTTCTTGTTGTCTTTTACTTGGGTTGCCATCCTCAGCTCCATGGCAGCTTTGGCCCGTCTAACTGCCTCCCTACAAGTGCGAGTAGAGGAGGTATATTCATCTTTGGTAATCTCTCCCTGTTTCCACTTTTTATATGCTCCCCTTTTAGTGTGCTGCTGGTTACTACTTGCCAAGTGCAGCACCCTGCACTTGTCAGTATTGAAACGCACCCTTTTTTTGTTAGCCCACCCCTGCAACCTCTTCAGGTCTTTCTCTCCCTGCTAACGTGGCCACTTCACCCCAAATTTTGGTATCATCAGCAAATTTAAACAGGTTGCTTTTCACCCCATCATCCAAATTGCTGATAAAGAGAAGGGCTTGGGTAAAGCAGTGTGGGGGTCTGAGTGCTGGGCTGGGAAGCCAAAGTGATCTAGGCTCAAATTCCTCTGGGCAAAGGAGAACCTAGAACTCAGGACCTCCCTCTTCCCAAGTTAGTTTCCCAACTACCAGCAGTGGGGAACACAGGAGGTGGCTCTCTTTCAGCCCTTCTCCACTCCTAAGTCTAAATTTGGTAGTCATGAGTTTTCCTTGAGTGCATGTTCAGCATCCACAGCTTCTGCATCCCCTCAAGGGGCAGGTGTAGTTATCCTGGCTACTACTGTGCACCCTAGTCTGTGTGTCCACAGTTGCCCATTGTCATCCACACATCCAGGAACAGAATTCCCCGCAGTGGTAAGTGCCAAAATGCTGTGCAGGGGTGTGTACACATGTACTAACTTTCTGACAATTAAGCCACTTAAATAACTTTTTAAAGTTGACTTAACTGTCAGAGTGTAGATACGTATGTGAAGCAGAGTTGACTTAAATGAAGCACAAGATAATATCCCTCCAAGGTGTATTATCTTGAGTTGCATTTGTTAAGTTGACTTAGCTCATAAGATGGCTACCACCATGTCAAGGAGCTATATGTGTGTATGCTTCGACGTGGCTTAACTTAAGTCGACTTAGTTGAGATGACTTAGTTAAGTTGCCTTATTTTAAGTCAACTTAGTATGTGTGTATGTACCCCTGAGATGATCCCACAAAGTCCCTTTAGATGACCGGAAGGGAATGGAATGTGACCCCAAAGCCTTTCAGCTTTGTTCCCTTCTCCCATTCTCCCATGCCCCTATGCCACTCCAAACCCATCGCTCACAGGAGAGGAGGGGTGAGGAGTGGCTGTTGAAGGCTAGAAAGTGATATTCTAGAGGTTTTCTTTTGGTAATTGGCTTGTAGGTAAAGTAGATATGCATTAGAATAATGGTCCAGGGGAACAACAAGGGTTAATTGATTTCTAAAAGCCTGTTTGTGACAAAAGTTTCCTTCAAGGCCCACTGTGTATGACACAGGCACGCAGCAAGCAGACACACAAGCTGGGAAATTGAAGACATGTACCACACTGCTTCATAACAGAGATAGGGGACTCTGCCGCATTGGCCAGGTCACAGTGCCCAGCTGCAGGGCCCTGGGATTTCTGGTTTTGGTAGATGGACCAAAATAGGAGACATGGGGAAAAGACCAAATTAAAATGTGTGCATGTGATGTATTTGTGAAACAAAGAAATATCCTGACAGGTCAGAATGTGGACAGTATGGTGACCACAGGGAGACCAATCAGCAATGCCCAGATATGAAGAGTCATTAGAGGAGAGAAAGAATACAAAAGGAGGGATTTCAGGGTAGCACAGGGGACCCCGAGGCCACCATGGACAGAAGGAACACCACCAGCCCATCTCACCCACCCCACGGACGGTGGGGGGTGAGCCTCAGCCCTCAACCTTCAGGCTGCTGACATCTGATATTCAAGAGAGAACATCAGAGTGAAGCTCATGTGCTGGCCAGATGTATTTTAACTTTGTGAACTCTGGGACAGGTAGATATAGAATTGTTTGCATTCTTCTTATCTGCTAACACTGTGTATCAATAAAATTCACTTATTATCAAATGAAGAGGTCATGGTTGGTCTGAGGGTTTTGGGTCCACCTGAAACAAGGTATTTGGGTCATAAATCCAGTGCCAACAGCTGGGAGCTCGCAGACCCTCTGCTACCCTCACTTCAGTAGATATAGGTGGGACCCAGACTGGGGGCTCCTACCTGGCTCATTCTCCCACCCCTCCTGGGCCCCAAGTGCTCTTCTCAAAAGGGGTGAAGGTGCTGTGCCACCCAGGGGATGCCAAAGAGAAGTGGGGTGGCTGAGTCAACATGGGGCAGGGAAGGGTTAGGGTGGGGGTGCCAGGATGTTGCCCACCCACCCCTCTATTGGCAGAGGCAGCAGGCCTACCCCTGAATTCTGCCCCCAATACATCATTTCTCCCTTTGCCTCTCTTTGCTCATGCCTTACTCAGCTGTAGTTCCCCTCCCCCTGCCTCCCCCAGCAGATCTCTCTTTTTCCTCCCCTCCTTCCTGTGGTGCCAATTTTGCAGATCTTTTCTTTCAACCCTCCTGGGCTCTGTTTGGGCCATGCCAAGAAGCCTGGGCAGACAGCAGCCCCCCACTGTCGGGAAGAAGGGAGATAGGGTGGAGCAGAGGAATGTGCAGGGTATTGTGGGGCCAGGGGGGACTAGGAGGGGCCATGGGGGAGCAGGGTGCAGGCAGTGTGGGATGCAGCTGGGCACAGCTGCTTCTGCAGCACAGCTATGTGCTTTTGCACACAAAATGTTTCTTCTGTGGTGGCAGCTGCTGATTGGAGATAGGCATGGACCCATGATCTGTACCATTTCCAAGGCCCACTGTGTGCAGAACTGCTCCACCCCGTGCACAGAGCTGCACATGCACTCGGAGAGACTGAGAGCCTTCTTTCTGTTTTGCTGTCTGCCAGTGCCCCAGCGGAGACACAGAAACACCTAAGAGGAAAAAGTGTGTGCATTAGCACTAAACTATATCACTCGTGAGGGTGACAGCCCTTCCAGGGACCTGAGGAAGCTTCAGGGAGAAGACATGCTTGTCCTCTGAGCTGAGAAGGCAGGACAAAGGTATTGTTCATTTATGCATCTTCAGCTCTGGCACAGAGCATCGCCATTTAATGTTCAACTGAGAGATGGGTGGAAACGGCATGTAGCAGGCAGATTTTCTTCTCTGTGTAACACCTTTGGGCACTGATGATGGGCACCTCTGGGCACCTCTGGGCACTGATGATGGTCTCTGTTATGGCTGCAGTTGGGATGTGGGTGTTGTGGGCTCAGTGTTTAGGGGCCTGGACTCAGGAACATGGAAGGTCAAGAGGCAAGGGGTCCAGGGCTGGGGGTTAGAGACCAGAGCTAGGAGCCAGGAGCTGATATCCTGGGACCGGGAACTGGAAACTGAGCTAAAGGACTTGGTGTCAAGCAGGCAGCAGGGGCCAAGCTGCAAAGCAGCAACAAGATGAAGTACTAGGACACAGGGAGACAAGGAACCAGAAAGGCTTTTTGCCTATCTCAGAAGTACTGGGTGTTGGCTGCTGCCCAGGCTGGGAGTGGGGACTGGCAGAAGACATTTTAATGAGTTAACCAATTTTTTAGAATAGTTTTTGTAAATGTTATACATCGATGTGAAAGTTTATAGGGCATTTACAAGTTTAGTTTTGGGTATTCAATCATAGCACATCTGCACCAATTACTAATAAAATATATCTTTGACTAAAATATTTTGAAGTTAAGAGGGAAATTGAGTAAACTTTTATTTTAGAAGTACAAAGATTTGTTTTAAAATTGTGAAATAGGTGCCAATTCTGCAGACTACATGATCTCTTGAGGTCTCTTTCATTTCTGTATGAAATACTGAATTAAAGGGCAGACATTACACACCCGTTGAATGTGATGGGATGTTTACAATGGAAAGGAAGGGGATTGTGATACACCAGATAAAACTGTAAATGAGTCTTAAACAATGTGGGTTACTATGTTTTTAAATAAACTTGCAAAATAAGAAAGGACATGAGCTATTAATGTGGTACAAAACCAAAGCATAATAAAAATATGGGTAAATACAAACTCTGCTCAGGGCAAAAGAAGGAAAATTGGAAACAAGTTGTTGGATGTCTAAGGGGAACCTTACCACTGCCCCTCACATTTATAGGTGTAATGACCCTGGGACACAGAAATTTCTCCAGCAGATAAAGAAATACGTTGCACTCAGTCTCTTTCGTGCTACAACAAACAGCCTTCCTGCAACCTCAGCAAATATTATGGTTGACCTAGGAGGTTAGGTGAACGGTGCATGCACGATCTGCTTGGGGGCAGATAATGAAGGTATTAGTGAAGGTGTTTAATCGGATGAGGGACAAGGCAACACTACTGAATGATCCTCATGTCTCCTTTGTGCTTTCACATCAGCAGGTCTGTGAGCTGAAAACCAAACCTCGGTGCTGGTTACAATGGCGAGTACTTCTGCTTCTCTGCAAGGTACAGTCCTCACCAGCTCTGTGTAAAGTCTGTGTGTGGTGTCTGCACAGATACTTGATTACATCCGTGATGCTGAGTTTATAAGATCCTGTGCATCCCTTTACTGAGCCACAGGCCTGGAACGACTAGCCAGGTGACAGTGGATTCTCCGAGAAAGTGCTAGGCCTTAGGGACTTAGGGGCTCTTGCCAGCGAAAGATCTGGGGAAACAATAATTTCTCGTTTCTTTTAACAATTTTCTATGGAGGGTTTTTAAATTAACTTTCTCCCCCCCGTGCACATGCTTAGCACTTCCCTCTGAGAATGGGGCTCCCCCAAGTCTACGTAGCCAGTGTTTCTGCGTGGAACAGATCCCCTGATAGCTGCTCAGCAGAGAACAAGGATTCAGTATAGCCTGCTCCATGACATGTCCTATAGCCAAAGAGCAGAGGCTGGTGCTGAGTTTCTGAATGGCACTGTGCCTAAAACGTGTATGCAGTGGGTGTGTCTACATGTGCATTAACATGCTTTAGTTAGTTTGCATTAAATCTAGTACCTCCGGTGTCTATACACGGCTGCCCCCACATGCTGGAATTCCAGTGTGTTGGACCAGACTTGATTAATCTGCTCCCCTGCCCCTCCCCGAGCAAGTGTATAAATGCCCTCCATTGTGAGGTACTAGGAAAATACACATTAGCCTGTCTTAATGCGCATTAACTAAAGAGCACGGTTAAGTGACACTTAATGTGCATTGGCCTATTTTAATGTGCATTAACTCAATAGCATGTTTTTAGTGACGGTTTAATGCGCATTAAAATAGGCAAATGAGTATTGAAGTGCGTGTGGAGACGTACACTCTGAGTGACAGAGCTGATATTCAAGGGCTCTCTAAGAAGGCCAGAAATGAGACTGCTCTTTGAAACCAAGTTCTTTTATGAAAATGTCCACATGCATCTCAGATGCAGACTGCAGTAAGGACTGAGCACCCCCACGACCAGCCAGCAATGGTAGAAGCTGAATATCAGGTCGCGCACACTTCTCTAGTGGAGGGGGTCCAGTTAACCCAGGCTTTTGGACTTTGATGGTCACCATATGGGGCTGGGAAAGAAATTTATCCCTTTTTATTGCTATGGGTGTCTTCTTTCCCCCTTCCTCAGAAGTGCTAGGTGTTGCCTGCAGCTAAGGCTGAGGATGTCAACCGGGCTGTGCCAATGATCCTGCTAGGAGCAAAGCCGGAGGATCCTGGCTAGAGGGTCTTGCCTCACCACTCAGGGTCAGACCAATGCTGCACTGGGGGCAGGAAGGGATTTCCCCCCCTGGTCAGACTGGCATGGACTGGGGGGCAGTGGTTTGCCTGCCTTTGTAGCGGCATCCTAGTCCTCTCCCTTGGATCTCTCTGCAATGCAAGGACACCGGCAGTGCCCTCACCCCCTTGCTTTACCTGGGGCAAGTGAAAGGGTGTTTTTGATGTCTGGGGCATGGCTCTTGGTGGCTGCATGAGATGTTTATTCAGGCAGTTGTAAGAAAAGGATATGTAGACTCTTGCCTAGGATGGTTTAAATAGGGGTGATTCTATTTTCACAGGAGGCTGGACTAGCCATGACCTCCCGGGAGTCTTTCAACCCAACTTTTCTACGATTCTGCAATCCTATGAACGTTACACATGCCCCTTGCACAGCTTCTGTTTCCAAACCTGTTTCTGAACTTTTCTAGAGCTCTTCTTTATCTGGTTTGTGAATGACAAGCAATCAGCATAGAAAATGAGGCCAGATTCAGCCCTGGGTTGTAATGTGACAAGGCGTTCATGAACGGATGCATTCACTATTCCAGCAGCCCTATGTATAACAGAGCCTCCTGTCTTGAATTTGCTCCTAGGAGAGTCTCCACTGAGAATTGTCCTTGTTGGTAAAACTGGGAATGGGAAGAGTGCCACTGGAAACACCATCCTCGGCAGGAATCAGTTTAAGTCCAGACTTCAGCCATGTACGGTAACCATGAGATGTGAAAAAGCACAGGCAGAGTTTGAAGGGAGGCACATCATAGTTGTTGATACTCCTGGGCTTTTTGACCCTGACAGAGACAATAAAGATACTGCCAATGAAATTGGAAAATGCGTGAAACTCCTCTCACCTGGGATTCATGCCATTATTTTTGTTATGCAGCTAAATCGTTTCACCCAGGAGGAAAAGGCGGCAGCTAAGATTATACAAGACACTTTCCACCTTGTTGCAAAGAATTACATGATCTTCTTATTCACTCATAAAGAGCAACTAGAAGAATCGCTACAAGATTTCTTAAAGATGAGTGGTCAAGAGTTTAAAACTCTGGCTGAAAATCGTGAGAACCGGTACATTGCCTTTAACAATAAAGCAGAAGGAACAGAGAAGAAAGATCAGGTTTCTGAGCTGATTAAGATGATTGACGATGTTGTGAAGGCAAACGGCACAACACCGTGTTACACTGAACCTATGTATGGAAAGGAGAAGTCCTTTTGGAAAGAATGGTGTAACATCCTGTAGGTGATGAGGTGCTGGATCAGAGGGTTTTGCTTCTCTGTTGCAGCTTGACCATTTTGCAATGGGTTTTGCAGCATCCACTTTCTGGCATCTCCCTGTTTTCATGTGTACAAAGTTGTACAAATTGGTGCTGCCATAATAAAAACCACGTTTCCATGGTTTCTTTTCCCCACGTAACTACCATGTTGTTCATTCGGCTGTACTCACTCCTGTACAGTCATTCGGTTGTACTCAGTCCTGGAGTTGCTCCTGATTTAGGAAACTAACACTCTTCTGCTGACTGTGTCCACTGAAATTACGGCCACATGCCTGAAGACATTGCCTTTTGTCATTCCTTTTGCTGGCATCAGTCCATAAAGTCTATCAGAGTAATGAGACTAGACCCACTGCTGACAGCCCCATCGCTGTGTTCCCGTGGGTTGGGACAGTGAGCTGAATGCCCAGGGAGCCAGTGATGGGCCTGGTGCACTTCCTGCACATCGAGCAACACGGCAGGAGGGGGACAAAGCAGCTCATGCCAAGATCAAAGTATATCCCAGCTTGTATGTTGCTTTGGACAGGGGTTCCTAGTGGACACAGCTAGGATTGTCTTTGCCTAGGGGATTTAGGCACCTCATTGCCAGCTTAGTTCCCTTGTGACCCTAGCTATTTTTGGAGGTATCTGAATCCCCCCCCAGGGGTGACTTCATGAGCAGCTCAGCACTGCTGCCAGCCTTGGCCATTTTCAATGGGGCTGACAGACAGACAGACAGACAGCACACGATTTTTACATAACCCTTAACACCAAAAAAAACATTCAAAGAAGAGGCCAGTGCACGCACACAACAGAGGGAATAAAATGGACAATACAAAAGCATTCACACACACACACACACACACACACACACACACAACTTTTGCAGCACAGGAAAGGTCAATATGAAGCGTGCTGGAAAGGCAGGTGCCAGGTCTTCTGGCAGGGGAGAGAGAAGGGGTAGGGGGAGAGCTAGAGCTGCAAGACCCCCCACAAACACAGACGCATTCTCTTCCCGAGCAGCCATGACATTAGTGCTGCCCGTGGAAGCCAGGAAGTGCAGAGGCGAGGGGATGTGGAAGAGGGGGATCCGCTTTCCTGCGCCAGCACTCCCAGCACCAGCACCGGCACCGGCACTGGCACCAGCACCAGCCAGTCCCCTCCATGCCAGCCACTGGCAACGTGGGCCATGGGCATGGCTTCAGTGCTGGGGTCCAAACGCACCAGACCTCAGCCTCGAGCTTTGCTGGCTACCCATCTCACTGAGGATGTGGAGCCACTGGACTGCTTACTGGGCAAACCGCAGTAAATTCATCCCCTATTATAATATATAGCGGGATCTCTGAAGTGGCTCCGAAGTGGCAAATCGATTTGGAGCTCTGGATCAGATCGCGGCCATCCGAAAAGGTTGGATCTGAAGCCAGATTGGATCACTGCTGAATCACACAGGCCTAATGTGCTCCATTGCAACCGGTTGGTGAAGAATGTCTTGCATTCAAAAGCTTGTCCAGCCTTGTTCCAACCGTGCAGGTGGTCCAATGCAAGAAATCATCCTGCAAAATCCCTCCGCTGTCTTGGCCATGTTTCTGCCTTGGCTGTGCCTGGCCTAGTTCCTTGTCCCAGGACATGCTGAAAGGCAGCAGTAGGGGTGGGTATGTTTCTCAGCAGCTCTCCTGGGTTTACCAGTCTAGATGTGCTCTGCATTAGCCCTTGCTGATGATGCCACACTTCCCACTGCTCTGCTCCACACACCCTTACGTTGTTTGTGGGGATAGGTGGAAATGTATACTGTACGTTCCCCTCAGGCCTATTTCTTAGCACAATGAACTTTGCTTTCCTATAAAACCAGCAGCACCATATTAATTAGTCACCGTGCTATGACCCTGCTATCTATATTAGTGTCTTTAGGTCAAGAAAATAAAGATGCACTTTATCATCACCATGCAACCCCTAGTAAAGTTTTTTGCTAGTGCACTCGCTGCTGCTGGTCACCTTGTTGTTGTGTTTTACCCAAGCAGGATGTGGTAGAAGTGGACGAGTCCCAGTCACCAGAAGCAGCATGTGTTTTCTGTTCAGACTGTTTCCCAGAAATGACAGTCTCTTTCACTTTTGTGGCTACTCAGTTAAGGTGCAGCTGTCATGACTCCCTGTGCTACCCAACACTTGGGCCTGTTTGGCTTCCAGATAGACAAAACTACAGGCTGTGGGTGGTCAGGACCTCTGTTGCCAGATTAAACACAAAAATAGGGTCCAGGTCCAGTTCCAGGTCCAGGTCCAGGTCCTTTAATTCTAATTAATAAAAAGTCCAATCTGCTTAATGGGTACTTAATGTCAGTCTTTCATCAGTCCAATGGAACCACCCCAACTAGCAAGACACGGGACAGCCAAGGTGAGGGCATATTTCTACCCAGCATTGGCATTGATCTAGGAAAGGTTCACCTTGAGAGGCAGGACACCTTCAAGTCTCCTGGTCCTGACAGATTACACCCTAGAGCAGGGGTGGGCAAAATACGGCCCATGGGATGGATCCAGCCCATGGGGCCCCTAAAAAATTTAGAAAATTAAAATTTCTCTGCCCTTGATTCCTGTAAAAAATGACAGGAACCAGGGGCAGTAGGACCCAGGGGGAGCCCCACGCCAGAACCGCAGGTAAGGGGGAGGCGGGGAGGGCAGGGAGGACCCTGGGCAGAGAAAGAGCCTGGGGAAAAGTGGCCTGGGGAAAAGCTGAGCGTGAGGGGGAAAGCGGCCCCTCCCTTGCCCTGTGCCCGGAGCCCTGTGTTGCAGCCGCTCACAGCCCGCGCGGGGCTGTCCAGAGCAGGGTCCCAGCTGAAGTCCAGGTTCTCAGCTGGCAAGGGCTCTGTGGAGCCAGGCCAGCTCCCCGCCGCCCGCCCCACCCGGCCTACACACCCCCCTCCCAGCCTGTGCCCCGCTTTGGGCCCCACCAGTGCTGGCCCTGTGACATTGGTCCCAAGACATTGGGACATTGGTTCCAAGCTGGTGACCAGGGGGCAGGGCACCTGTCAAGAGGCAGGGCACTTGTCAAGGGGCGAGGCTACCCATGCGACCCTCAACTGTCTGCCAAAATTGGCTAAGCAGCTCTCTGCCCAAAACAATTGCCTGCCTTTGCCCGGGAGTACTCAAGGAGTTGGCAGGAGTCATAGCCCAACCATTGGCAAAAATATTAGAAAACTCGTGGTGCTCAGGTGAAGTACCTGAAGACAGCAAGAAGGCCAATGTGATACCTATCTTTAAGAAAGGGCAGGAAATAGATCCCGGGAATTACAGGCCAATCAGCTTGACCTTGATCCCCAGTAAGATCCTGGAGAAAATTATCAAGGAGACCCTTCTGGATAAGCTGGCTGAGGGCAACATCCTGAGGAACAGCCGGCACAGGTTTGTCACAGGTAGGTCTGGCCTGACCAATCTCATCTCCTTCTATGACCAGGTGATGTCACCTGGACAAAGGAGAAGAGATTGACATCATATATCTGGACTTTAAAAAAGCTTTTGATCTGGTGTCCCATGACCTCCTCATGGAAAATTTGGCCAACTGTGGCCTCGGCTACACCACAGTCTGATGGCTGGGAAATTGGCTCCAAGGCTGGACCCAGAGAGTAGTGGTCGACGGTAGCAAATCATTATGGTGCTCTGTTTCCAGTGGCGTCCCCGGAGGCTCTGACCTGGGACCGGCTCTTTTTAACATCTTAATAAAGGATGTGGACATTGGTGTCAGAAGCACACTGGCTAAGTTCACTGATGACACTAAACTTTGGTGCATAGCGTCCACACCTGAGGACAGGCTAGTGACCAGGCTGACTTGGATAAACTTAGTAAGTGGGTGGGATCAAACCTGATGATGTTCAATAATGATAAATGTAAGGTACTCCACCTCAGGGAAAAAAAACCCATAGCATACTTATAGGCTCGGCAGTGTTACGCTCACTAGCACCACGGCTGAAAGGGACTTGTGGGTCATCATTGACCACAAAATGAACATGAGCCCCCAGTGCGATGTCACAGCTGGTAAAACAAACAAAACTCTAGCTTGCATCCATAGATGCTTCTCAAGCAAATCCCAGGATGTCATCCTCCTGTTGTACTCGGCCTTGGTGAGGCTGCAGCTGGAGTACTGCGTCCAACTCTGGGCTCCACAATTCAGGAAGGCTGTGGAGAAGCTTGAGAGAGTCCAGAGGAGCCATGCGCATGATCAGAGGTCAGGAAAACAGGCCTTATGAAGAGAGGCTGAGAGCCATGGGACTCTTCAGCCTGGAAAAGCGCAGGCTCAATGGGGACCTGGTGGCTGCTTATAAGTATATAAGGGGTGTGCATCAGGATCTGGGGGAACATCTGTTCACCAGAGCGCCCCAAGGAGAAACAAGGACCAATGGTCACAAACTCCTCCAAGACCATTTCAGGCTGGACATAGAAAAAATGTCTTTGAATGTGGTGCTATTGTGTGAAGCACTCAGTCAAAGAAGGATGCATCTCATCTGTTTCTCTGTATTCAGGGCCATCTTGACCTTTTCTGGAACGAGCTGGACATTCATGAGCCACTTGCTGAGAAACTTCTGCATCCTCTACTCTGGAGTCTAACTCTTGGGGGTTCTGGTAGCTTCTTATCAGGTTCCACTGGAGACTTCAGTCACGCAGGTGGAGGAGTTATCTTACGTAAATGAGGACAGTCCCATGATGGGATTTGATAATCAGGACAAAAGCCTTGAGTCATTCTGTCCCATGAAAGGGGACCATGGCAAGAAAACAGCACTCAGATAAGGGGCTCCGAAAGGTCTATATTAATGACCAAAGATGCTGCTGAGTTCTAGCATAGAGGTTGTGAGAGCACAGATCAGCCCAGTAAAGTTTGAGGTCAAGAGCTGGTGTGGAGCATTGTCAATGCAGAAGGGCATCTCAGGCTCACAGAAATAGACACAACTTGCTGCAGCCTGAGACAGAGCACAGCAGCCTTTCCTGAAGGCACCAAAGAGCATGCCGACCTCTCCAGAAAAGGGAGAAGGCAGAAGAACAGGAAAATCCATTGTGCTGTAGGAGCGTTACCGTGGTCATTGTTCTCTGCATTTTAAGTGTAAAACTTCTGAGACCAAGAGCACAAACATTGGCTATGAAATATCTGGCATGAAATTAATAACTTTTATGCATCT